GCCCGCGTTGGCAACGGACTACCCTGATTGCATCATTTTCAGATTTTACGAATCATATTCGGAACCCAACTATAATTAACTCATAAGCATCCAAATAAAATAGGACCTTTTCTTCTTTCATTTTTAGAGACAGGCGAAAAACGGAAAAATAGAAAAAACATAGTTGCTTTAGGATATCCTTTTAAAACAAAAAATGAGGCGTGCCTCGCCAAGTAAATCACAAGCTGTGGGGCCTCTATACGTGTTTGTAAAGTAGCTTAGACTCCGGGACGGGCTGTTTAGCAAAATTTCACGGTCTTGCCCAAAGTAACGCTACGCTAGTCGCTTAGGGAGCGTCTTTAATAAAATTACTTCTTTAAGTACGGGTGTGCATTTATGCAACCCAAATCTAAATCTCAACGGAGTCGAAACGTATCTATGACCACGGGTACATTGACTGTGACGAGGTCCGAGATACGTTTTCACGACGTTGCAATTCTTTGCTAAAAATAACAATAATAATAATAAAAGCGGTAAAAAAGTCATAATTCGCACTGAGTACATAATTGTAAAAATTAGATAAATAAGCCGAATATAACAGTTGAGCGACCGTGCTAGAACCACGGAGCTCGGGAATGCCTAACACCTTCTCCTGGGTTAACAGAATTCCTTATCCAGATTTCTGGTATGCAGACTGTAATTTAGAGTCATTCTTTTCCTCGATTCGGGATTAAAATCGGTGACTTGGGACACCCTAAAACTCCCAAGTGGCGACTCTGAAATAAATAAACAAATCCTGTTCGATTGTCCTTTAATTGAAAAAAACTCCTTCACCCCTTCGCGGGGCGGTAGAAAGGAGGTGTGACAATCCCAACGTGTGCTTTTGCAAAGGTATCTGCTAGCATAGAAAACGAGTCAATAGAATTTATGGGGAAAATAGTGTGCTCTCGGGATCTGATCGACCATGGAGTTATAGGTCTCCAATTTTTCGTCGTTAGCTTCGATTTTCTTTTCTCCCGATTCCACTTGTTTTGTCAGTTCCTCAAGCATCTTTATTATCTCGGGATTAGCCTCGAGTTCAGCTTCACCCGGCCTTTATGTGGCCAGTTCATTTTTGCAAGCGTTTTCCCGGGATGGTTCGGGCTCAACTCTGCTGGGGGCGCAACTTTGATTCTGCAACTGTGGCTATTGCTACCTCTTGAGACTGTAACATTTTGAAGATCACCCGCAAGTTGATCCCATCACCTCCGCCGTCGTGTGTGCTCCGGGCTATTGATCGGGCTCCCCCTACGAATGTTGTTTTCAGGGTCAGTAGGCAAGTTTGTTTCGATAGCCACATATGAGTTAGTATTGATCGGATCCGCAACTGGGACTCCATTGGGGTCAACAGGGGGTACCTCGTTGCTGAGCACCACGTTGTTGTTCTCGCCATGGTGGTCGTACTCAGCATCAACGTTTAAATGGACAGATTAGGAGTTTAACATTTTTAATTTTACCTGAAATTAAAAGCTCAAAGAACAAGTGTAAAATAGAGTGCCTTATGGAAATTTGTATCAAATTGCCACTATTATCCTTAGCCCCACAGTGGGCGCCAAACTGTTTAACTTAAAAGCAGATAACAATTAAATTTGTATGTGATTTTAAGGCTATGTAGATTAATTCAATACAAATGATAAATGGCATTAGATTAAACAAATGAATGACGTAATAAATTATCAAACCAATTAAGGGGAGTGACCCCAGACTCAGTAACAGCTTAATGAAATGCATGTCTTTGATCACGGGCTCACACTAATGAAGAATGGATGAACAAAGGCAAGAACTTTGAACAATAGAGAAAATAAGAGTATATTTCCTTAATATACGTGTTACAATATTTTTCATGAATAATAAATTTTCCCCTTAATATAGTAGGGGAATTTTACCCTGAGTATAATTCTAAAAAAGGTAAAAATCTTCAGTTTCGACGATCACTGATTTTTTGTTGATACGAGTCGAAATTCACGTTGTGATATCCGATTGGGTACACATATAACGATCCTTTGTTAGCCGTGTGCAACTGCTCGGTGATTCTCTCTAAAGTCTCAACCCTTAAATCGAACCTCGAGGATATGGTCCCGATATCCCCGAGGGCAAGTGTTTGCCTCGCCCTGATACGAGGGTGTTTGCAATAAGTTTGTGCAGAAAAATAAAACTGCAATCACAAACAGCTATAAAGAAAAAGAATTTTATTGATAAACATTGGGGGTTACAACTCTGTTTATTCCTTGCTTCTTCCCTCCCATTTGTTATCCGTAATTCAAGGGTCTTAGTAGTGTATATCTCGAACGTAGGATGATATACATCTCCTTGATGTATTTGATGATCAAGAAGCATGTAGCAACACTACATTTGGATCTTGAATGTTGTTAGTACTTTAAGCATGACATATATGACATGCGTTTGATCTCTTAATGAATACTCCAAGATCTATGGAATTTCAGAGATCGTATATTTGATCTCATTATGCATATTTCGGGAGTTTATGAAATTTCTGAGATCGTCTTTGAAGGACATATATAGCCTTATTTATAGGTATGAATTAGGGTTTTGGTGGAGTAGCCACCAAGTAACCCTAATAGACTCCTAATTAATTCAAGAGTCGTCTTGAATTTAAGATTTATCTTGATCTGCTAAACTTTCAGTGTCTACAAATGTCCCCTACTTCAAGGTTTGTCGAGGTGTAGGCGCATGAAACTTGAAAACGAGACTTGAAGTATCCAACCATCACAACAGATAATCTTGAAACTTATAGTATTCGATTTGCAGGACGAAGAGAAGAAATGCAGAACTGGTCCCACTGGGCGTGCCAATTTGTTTGAAATAAATTTTCAAGTGCAAAATATTAACTGTAATCACAAAAATATATGAAGAGAAATAATCTTTATTGATGAACCTTTATGGATATAATTTTGTTTGTTCCCTTAATTCTTTCTCTAAATTATTCTCCGTAATTTAAGGGCTGCATCAGCGTATTTCTCGAGCTTAGGATGATGCGCAGGCCTTCCTGATATATATTATCATCTCCATAAAAGTCGAGCATTGTATGAATCTTCTTCTTGAAGTATTTGACTATCAAGAAGCGTCCGGCTTCATCTTGATCTTTCTGTGAATCCCGAGAGTTTATGGAATTTTTTGAGATGATCTCAATTTTCGAGAGATATTTTTTAAAGGATTATGTAATCTTTTTTATAGGATTGACTTAGGGTTTTGTAGATAATAGATTTGCGTCAAGAAAATTTATTGAAAATCTATGCGTACAGAGGGGTTCTTCGTTCTGACTTCGATACGTTACGATCATCTTCCCACTCCGCTTGGCTCACCGGGAAGTCGAGTTATGCAACAGGCTCGGTTTTACCCGTATACAATCTCTTACATTGTTAATCTTGTAATATCGTGTGCTATTTACCAAAATTAGAAAATTGGTTCTACTTTCGAAAGTTGTTAATGGATAAACAAGTTATGCCGTTCAAAGAGGAGGCATTGGAGTTGCAAAGTGGTTGGATTATTTAGTTTGTACTCAGAATATCACTTTGTATCAAATTTGTCCAAAGTTGAAATTTAAATGACATTGGCCTCATAATAGTTCACTTACTTTTATAGGATAAATTTAAAAATAAATCACTTATCTATATAAGATAAATTGCTAAAAAGGAAACATTGCAGTTTTTTGTCCATATATGTGTAAGATTTTGTTGAAATAGTATCTTGATTACTGTTATATTGACCATTTTATCTTCAATTATTTCATTTTGCCTAAATCCACGATCCTTATTCTATAACTGACATGGAACTTAAATAGTTTAAGAATTTTGAAGCAATAAAATATGGAAAGAATATTATAAAAATGATGAAGCATACTAATACCTAAGTTAACAACTTTATCATCGAATCTGCTATGGTGCATTACTCCCTCGGTTCACAATAAGTGACAATTTTTATACTCATTAAAGAAATACGAACTTTTAAAGAGAAAAAAAGATGTAATCGCTAAATTAATATTAATTAATTGTTATCTTGATACATTGGAATATGTAAATAAGGGTAAATTTTAGAAACTAAAATTAATTCCTTCTTGATTATGTAAAATGACATTTATTTTGAACCAAAATAAAAATAAAATACTTACCCACACCAGGTGTTTACAGTGGCGAAGCCAGGAAATTCAATAAGGGTGTTCAAAGTTTGAATACCCTTTGTCAGCGAGCTATGCAAGGGTGTTCAAAGTCTTTTTTTAATTAATAACATGTAATATTTTAATTTATACGTAGTATAATTTTTCGGCAAAGGATGGTCAGTTGACCATCCTTGGGCCAACATAGCTTCGTCCCTGAGTATTTACACCAAACTATATTAACTCACCATAGTTAATTAATTTAATTAAATGAGAATACAAATAATTAAACATGGTTAAATAATTGAAGTCCATATACAAAACACATGCTATATATCTATTGGTTTGGTGTAAACACGCGATACGGGTAAATAGCGGAGCCACCTTTCCAAATGCTAAAGTCTTCGATTTGAATTGTGTACTGAGTATTTATTATTTATTGGAAAATGAATTATTTACATTCACAATTATTTAAACTCTTAATATGACATCGAAATAATAGTTGTATGCCTATGCTGTTTTTCTTTGAAAGAAAGCACCAAGTTTTAATTATGAGAACAAAATTAAATTAATAAAAGCGCAACAAAACCGTTGAACTTGAGTTCTTGGCAAACTACATTATCATATAATCTGAGACTTTGTAATATTAATATTTTAAAGAAAACCCACTTGTGCACACAATTAATAAATTTCCAAAATAAAACAAAATCCAATCGTAATCCGAAAGTCAAATTTCTTGTAGACCAGTTACCGGCTATTTTCGGTTAACCACCTCGCTCACCCTCTGTTATAAATAGCTCAAACTCTTTTCCACCTCTTTCACCAGTTGCTCAGAATTCATTAGAGCAAAAACCAAAAACAGAGGAAAATGGTTCTGCTAACACCACCACGAACTCCGGGCCGGGCCACGGCTACGGCGATAGCGGGCTCGTCGAAGCGGCTTATGGTGAACTTTATTGGTTCGATGTCTTTGTTAGCTTTGTGGTTGAAAAAAGCTAGCCGAGGAATTAAAACCCAAAAACTCGGGGGCGATTCGCCTAAATCGCCGTTGGATAAGCCAAAGAAGTTCTTCGCGACGATTAGTAACAAGGCAATTAATTTGAGGCACAAGAAAAAAGCGGAAGGGGAGCTGGTTGATGAGGATTTTGGAGATGGAGGATTGTGGCAGAGAGGTATTTTGATGGGTGATAAATGTCAGCCGTTGGATTTCTCCGGCGTGATTTATTATGATAGCAACGGGAATCGTTTGCCGGAGGTGCCGATGAAATCGCCGAGGGCAAGTCCGTTGCCGAGTTATCTTTACGCTTCGCCAAGGTCTGCAGAAGTGAATTAGAAATAGTAAGTTTAAAAAATATTATAGCATCAGTATTAGTTGATGTTCTGTTTAGGTTTCTGGTGGCATGTAGTTGAATTTGGAAAACTTTTTTTTTTTTTTTTTGGCCTTTATGTCCTGCGGTTTGTTTGGTTTGGGTTACAGGAAATATGGGCACCCTGGAACTGAAAGATGTGGTGATATATGAGCTATGCTAATTTTCCATTAATCTTGAAAAAACAGTGTATAAAGATGTTTTGAATATGGTGGAATAAATTTAATTTAAGCTGTTTGCTTTGGTGGGAAATTAGTTGCTATGAATTCACGTTTGTGTGTATGAATTAACGGTATCATGTTCACTTGTTGTCAATGGTACCAATTTATAGACACAGAGACCATGGCACTAGCGGAACCGTGGCCTGTTATACCTATATTTGAGGTTTATTCATATCATCATGGATTCTACAAAAAAACACTAAAGTTGGGTGCAAAGGCGACCCGGGATTTAATTAAATGTTGCGGAGCATATGCTTTTGATATTAAGGAGATAGTTTTTAACATATGTATATACTTAAATATTCAGAATTTTTGTCAAAGTTAATGAGGTTCTGTGATCCCTCTTCCTAAAGCATAGGTTCACCTGGTTGGGTGGACGTACTCTTCACCCTCATATTCGACCTATGGAAATGGATACATCTTTCGTGGAGAGCGCTTTACCATTAAAGTAGAATTTTCTTATACTAAGTCGAATTAGTCGACCCTGAAAGCAATATCCAAGTCTGATGGAAAATAAAATAAAAAAATAAATTCTGCAAAAATAATATAACTCTCCCACCTATCTATAATACAACATTTTTATTATTAATTAGTCCGTTAAGAAATGATATCTTTATATATTTGAAATCAATTTTTTATTTAATTTTTTTTGGCTTAATAACATGATTTTATGTCTAACCACAGAAGTCCCAAGATATGTTTAATTACAAGCTTTAATTTTTTTTTTATATTCTGTAATAAATTGAAATGAGCGAGTGTTACGTTATGGGCGATGACCTAAGCTGCCAATTTCTTTTCCTTTTTGTCTCCAGAAATAAAAATGAGGCAAAGGTAAAAAAAAGTTGAGGTCTTGTACGAAGCAACTTCTGTCTAGTAATTTAACAATAAACTATGGCTACGGTTGCAACCGTTGTCCCATAGTTGCTTTTGTCGTACCACTTAATCTATTCGAAGAGGCAAAGTTGATTACAATTTACAGGAATCGTAGAAATATTTAATTTCTATTTTCTACGATCACTTGCCTTGGATGGATGTTAAAAATTTTATGAGAAGATGTTGTTCTTCTCTCTTTTCATTTTTCAACTATTTATGATATTCCTCAAAATATAGAGGAATTTTTTTTTTGTCTTCAATAGTATAATTTGCTCCATCTCAAAAGGCCACATTATTCATGTCTGAAAATTATATTATTACTACTATTACGATACGCTTAAAGGGACTTTCTCAAGCGTTGATACTTGGTGATTAAATCGTTGAAAATATTTCAGAGGAGACAAGAACATTATCAAAGACATCACTAAGGGTTTTGATTCCCTTTCAAAGCCTACGTACACATTAGATAGCCATTATCAATTGCAATAAAGAAAAATATAAATCGAACCGATGTATGCAAAATTAATTTCTCCCTTGAAAATATTTGTACCGAAATAAGTAAACCTTTTCCAGTCATCAGCCGCAATTCTTTTTTGTTAAGAATAATTGCGATTAAGTAAGTGACCTGGTCAACTTAATACTTATATATAATAGAATAGCTAGTATGAATTAAAATAATAAGAAAGTGACAATCTCTCTTGCGAATTTCAGTATATGGTAAAACTGTTGTTGGAATTGAATGATTCAACTTTTCTTCTGCTACTTTTTTCTTGTTAAACAAAGCATCATAATAATATAATGGACTTGGTCTGCGGGAAAATCTGTGAACACTAGCCATGTAAAATATAAAAAAATTAAAAAATAAAAAATCAGTATTGAAATTCTGCGTTTTGAGAAGACAAGGAACATACAACCACAGGCCATTGATGACATGAGATCAATCTTCCAGTCAACTATATATGAAAGGCTCACACAAATTACCAATGGGCATGAGTCATGACATGACTTAGTCCAACTGCAATTTTTTCTTTTTTTCTTAAAACAAGAAATATCTAAGGTCAAAGTCGATTTGTGTCGCATACTTTTTTTTCGTCTCCTAGACAGTATTAGCTATTAAGCTAGTCATAATTCTTACATATTCCCAAGCATGGGCGGATGCAGCTTTCGCGTGCTTGGTTCATCGGAACTCAATATTTTTATGCGAAGAATAAATTTATGTATAAAAATTTATTAAAATATTAATAAGTAGTAAATATAAACCCATAACATTATACATATAAAATGTTTAATGCTATTGAACTCATAAAATTGAAATCTTATATATTTGTTTAGTCAATAGTGTGCTTATTTGAGCTACTAGGCTAGACAAACATAGCTTGGAGTAGCACAAGAAGTCGTCAATTACTCAATTTGATTATATAATTAACATACTATTGATAATAGGAAAAAGATAGAAATAATTACAAGAAAATACATATGACTTCACACTATAACAAAAAAATAACCTATGTTTTTAAGTTTTATCCAACCTAGCTCATATTGTGCATATTTTGAAAGCACTAACAAATTCAAAACTTGTGTTCTTACAACAATTGCTTCTAAAAGTTATGGAGTTAAATATGTGTTCTCACAACCATTGTTTTCACTCTCTCTTCTTCTCACATCTTCTGCATATGCTTCTAAGGGTCGTCCGCCATTGCTGCTTCTTACCCTATGTCACCTGGTTGCAAATGTAAGAAAATTGAAGAGTAGAAGTCCACCATTGAAGGTCATTCAAAACTTTGCTTTCGAAAATAGGATTTTTTGATTTTGTTAGTTGTTTGGATTGGATGTTGTTCCAATTGATTGAAAATATCAAAATGAGTTCAAAATTTAAATTTGAAGTAGATTTGAGCGAGATTTGAGTTAAAATTTAGAAAAGACGCAAAAAAGAAGACGGAGTCAGTTTTTTGTATAATTATGTATAATCTTATATAATAATGTATATGAGTGTATAAACACATCTTATCCGCTACACTTTTATACACCTTTATACAAGCGTCTGTAGACGAACTTCTTCCACGATTTTTAGTTGCAATTCTTGTTCAAAACCAGTCCAAATTTCCATTAAATGACTTCAAATTTCACATACAACCTCCTTATACTATTTCTAACAAGTCTAAATAACACTCACTCCAAATTTCTCACAAAATCGAATTCGAAATTTAAACCCACATGTTTAAGCTTGTTAAAAATTTAATCTTCACCATCCAAATAGATTTAGTTTGTTGAACTAATATTTGAGTCACAGTTACTGATTCGAAAATTAACTTAAAAGCTTGTCTTTTTTAAAAATTAAATAGTAATTTCTAGAACCTATTAGAGTTGGATGTTGAATCTTAGCGTATTATTTTTGGGCTAGTTGGTTGTAAATTGAAATATGGGCTATAAAATTGAAAAATAGGGAGCTCAATTGTTCTTATGTGAAATTTTCCCAAAAAGATATTGAACTAAGGGTGTGTTTGGTATGAAGAAAAATATTTTCCAGAAAATGTTTTCCAATTTTCCCATGTTTGGTTGGCTTAAATGTTTTGAAAAATATTTTCCTTATGAACCCATTTTCCTCCAACTGGAGGTAAATGTTTTCCTTATCAAGAGAAGGGAAAATATTTTCCAAAATTCCTTCTCAACCTTCCCACCCTATTCCCCACNGGTTCGAAATTTTAAAAGTTTCAAAGTTATGAGTTCGGAGGTTTATGTGTTTGGAAGTTTACGGGTTCGAAAGTTCGCAGTTTCGAAAGTTTAGCGGTTCGAAAGTTTGTGAAATTTGTGGGTTCGAAAGTTTATGGCTTCATGTTTAATGTATCTAAATTATTTATGAATACTTTTGAGAAGTTATTTTCCTTAATTTGCATATCAAACACAGGAAAATGAATAAAATTACTACTTGTTTTACAAGAAAATATTTTCTTCTAAAAAATTTTCCACGTAAAACATTTTATGTTATACCAAACACACCCTAATAGTAGAAATCTTAGCTCCCATTTGGACATTTCTTTTAAAAGAAATTGAAAATATTTTTTATTGATGAAATTTGATAAGTTTTTGAAAAGAAAAAAAATTAGAAGAAAAATTTTCAAAGTTCTAAAAATTGATTTGCGCCACTACCTTTTGGGTGAAAATCTTTTTCTTCCACTAAAAATTTCCATTTTTTTTTTCCAATGCATAAAATGAATGGGCAAACACAAAAATTTCAAAAATTAATTTTTAACACAAATTTAAATAACGTCATGCATTTGAATTTCTTGAACGTACTGTGATAACTGTATAATATAAGAATAAAGGGTGTCAAACAAATTTGAAAACGTTTCAAACTAAATAGTGTCTTAAATTCAAACGGAAGAATGTAAATTAGAGCATAACCAACTCTTGTTCCAAATGTAGTTGTTCGTGAAAGAGTGGGACACCGAAAAAGCAATTGATGCTCAACGTTTTCACTTGTTGGTATGAGTAATCAGTTGAAGAACTTTCGAAAGGAATATCTTAGTACGTTTAGACATCTAGCTAAATTTTACTAGTTTATTGCAACTGCTCTTTGCTGGAATAAGGATGATACGTGTTATGCAAACTCCGAAAGAATGTTCATGACTGGACAGGAAACTAATCACTATTGTTTGTGGAGATCATAGTCACCTTCATTTATAGAAGTAGCCATAAAACAAATTCTTCTATGTCTGTCTTTTTATGGTGGTATAGCTTTTTTTAAAGGGACAAGCTATCAAAAGCTCCTTTCGGATTTTCACCACGTAAAATAGCTCAATTTGTCAATTTCTCAAAGAAAACGTGCACAGATTGCTGGTTCTTGCCAAATTGTTATATAATTTGTCGTCGAATGTGTTTATCCGTAAAATGGTACAGTTGAATTTATACGTGATTTCTAGATAAGTAAATTAAATTGATCCTGAAATAATAAAAGAATTGAAGAAAAATGCAATACTTAGCCTTGAGATAAAGATGGAATAATAGAAACAGTAGTTACGGGAGCAAGGCTTCCGGGCACAACAGTAATAAAATCAAAAA